GAATCAGCCCCTTGGGGGCAGCACAAAATAACTTAAATCCGCCGTCTCCGCAAACTCCGTTATTTCCTAATGTGAAAAATAAATATTTCCTCGGTTGCACAACTCGCGAAAGGGACCGTGGCCGCGGCCCGCTCTGCGTCCCCGGCCGCCAGCCTTGCTCACCCAGGCGCGGGCTGTGAGGTCTCAGGCGCAGAGACCGGGGATGGGGGTTGAAGAAATGATATAAAAGCCAAAAGTGAACACCGTCAAAACACTTGGCCACCAGTGCTCCCTGTACAACTCAAGGTGACCCTATGAACAACAGGTCTCAACCTGCCGTATCCTGTATCTCTGATAAGTTTGCACCCATTAATAAAATCATTGTGTTCATCCATATTTTTGAAGGTTTTCCTTAATAAGAGAAACGTGAACCAGGACTTCCCCAAGCTCTCACTCTTTTTACCCCTTACAGGTACATCTTGTAACTGGTGGAGGTGGAATTCAGAGTCCAGAGTTCTTTGAGAGTAAGTGACATACAGATCTCCAGGTCTTGAATCTAGAAGACGCTCACTCAAAATGGCATCAGGACATTTTAATAGCCCAAGAATGTGACACGGCTGTTCTCTATTCAGTAGCAAGGCAGTAAAGTCAATTATTAGATGAACTTCAGGAAACAGAATGCTGAAGAGCAATGATATCGATTTGAAGATTAAGATGCACCTGATTCAGTCAGTCCATAGTCTTCTCAATCACAACTGTACTTCAAAGAGCTGGAAAACTAATAAGGCTAACAGAGAAAAAGTGAAATCTTTGGGTTACGGTTCTGGAGAAGACTGCTGAACATTTCATGAACTGCTAAAAGAACAACCAGGTATGTGTTGAGAAAAGTGCAGCCTGAGTGCTCTTTGGAGGCAAAGATGGCAAAACATCATCTTTCATACTTTGGACATGTAGCTATGTAAGGCTATTCAACATCATGCTTATAGAGAGTCAGTAGCAATTCCACTGCTGGGAATATACCCTAAAGAAACCATAACTGCCAAGCAGATATAGGCACACCAGTGTTCATTATGGCTTTGTTCACAGTGGCAAAGAGTTGGAAACAACCTAAGTGCCCATCAACAAATGAATGGATAGAGAAGCTCTGGTATATTCACACAATGGAAGACTATGCTGAAGTGAAAAACAAAGAACTCATGAAATGTTATTCAAAATGAATGACCCTGGAGGACATTAGCTGAGTGAAATATCTCAGTCACAAAAGGACAAATACTGCATAGTGTCACTGTTGTCAGAGTTGAGGGGAGACTGAGAAAGAAGGGGCACATAATGTATACTGCATTGAAACAGGTGAGGGAGAGAACTATTTAAAAATGATATATGATTAGGTATTATTATCATGACAAGAGTCCAGAATGAAGGCTGCATAGTGGAGTCCACTTGGGGGGGGCGGGGGAGGAATTATATAACAATGAAAGAATTTTTCTTTTACCTTTCAAAGAGAAGAGCAAATTGGGGGGTGGGGAGTGGGTAGGGAGAAAAATGCAATAATGAATGAATGGGGGGAATGTTTTGATGATTTAATGAAAAACCAATATGTTTTGTAAACTTTCACTCAAATAATAATAATTTTTAAAAAGGGGGGAAGATGGAGGATCAGCAAAGGAGAGGAAGACCTCCAGTGAGATAGCTTCATGTGGTGGTGTCAGCAAAGGGCTCTAATGTATCAGAAATAGTGAGGATGGCACAGGATAGAGCAGGGTTCAGCTTGGCTGTTTATAGGGTTACTATGAGTCATACCCCACTTGAGAGCACCTAACGACAAAACTCTGCCAAGTCAGTTCCCCCATCTCCATCTCATTTCTTCTAATCCATTGACTCTGAACCACTGAACTTTTGGTTATCAACTGAGAACTTTGACCACTGTGCCACCATGGATTTCTATATTAGTTTTCCTGAAGCAGAAGTGGCATCCATTTCCTAAAGAACATGCCTCCAGAAACTCTATGAACGTTGGTAAATGTCAATAGTTATAGGAAGGCTTCAGGCCTTTTGTTCGTAGGGTTGCTATGAGTCATGCTCTACTAAAAGGCAGTCAACAACAACAGAGTTGCATAGTTTAAATCAGGAAATGTGTGTCAAGGTTGTATCCTTTCGTAATACCTATTCAACTTGTATGCCGAGCAAATCCTTTGAAAAGTTGAACTATATAAAGAAGAATGTGGCTTCAGGATTGGGGAAAGACTCATCAGCAACCTCTGTTTTGAAGATGATACAGCCTTGGTTGGTGAAAGTGAAGACTTGAAGCACTTACTGTAGATGATAAAAAACTGAAGTCTTCAATAGGGTTACACATCTAAACAACAAGAAAACAGGAATCCTCACCACTGGACCAACAGGCAACAACATCATGATAGACAGAGAAAAGATTGAAGTTGTCAAATGATTTCATCATACTTGTATCCACAATGAGCACCCATGGTAACAACAGTCAGGAAATAAAAAGATGTGTCACATTGGAAAATTTGTTGTCAAGGACCTTTAAAGACTAAGGTGTGCCTGATCCAACACATGGTATTTTCAGTTGTGTCCTATGCATATGAAAATTGGACAATGAATAAAGAAGACTGAAGAAGAATTGATGCCTTTGAATTGTGGTGTCAGAGAAGAGTATTGATTATACTATGGACTGCTAAAAGAATAAACAAATCTGTCTCAAAGGAAGTAGTCTTTAGAGGCAAGGATTCTGAAACTTCATTTCACTTACTTTGGGGATTATTTTCAGGAGAAACCAATCCTTGGAGAGATATCATGCTGGAAAATGTGGAGAGTCAGAGAAAGAGAGGAAGACTAATAGATTGACAAGATAGGTTGACATCTTAATTACCACAATGGGCTTATGCATAACAAAGATCTTGAGGATGACAATGGATAGGGCAAAGTTCAGATCTGTTGTTCCTAGATTGTGAGACATACTCTACTTGATGGCACCTAACAACAACAAAATTGACTATGACTATTCAACTGTGTGGATCATAACAAGTTATGTGTAACATTGCAAAGAATGTTATCTTTTTTCCTCAGAGCAGCTACTGTATTTGAACCTGTCTTTTTGGTTGGCAGTGCATCATCTAAAGCTCTTTGCCACCAGAGGTCCTTTGTAGAATTTTGTGTCCGTGTAGATTGATATTGTTGTTGTTGTTGTTGCTTTTGTTTTGAACCGACAAGTCGCTTGTGCCTCATAGTGATCCTACAGTAGCTCTGAACCCTGCTCTATCCTGTGCCAACCTTATTGTCTCTGACACACCTAACCTATTACCCCAGTTACTGAGTCAATCCATCTCATCCAGATCTTCTTCTCTGTGCTGTCCCTTCACCCGTCCAAGCATGATGTCCCTCTCCACAGACTGGTTCCTCCTTGAAAAATTCCTGAAGTATGTCAGAAGGAGCTTCAGAATCCTTGCCTCCAAGTAGCAGCCTGGTTTCACTGTCTCCCAGATGAATCTCTTTGTTCTCCTAGGAGTCCATGGTATATTTAGTACTCTTCTCCACAGCTCAAAGACATCAATTCTCCTTCTATCATCCCTAGTCATTGTCCAGCTCTCTGATGCATAGCAAGTAATTGCAAAGACCATAGCCCAGATCAGGCGCACCCTAGTCTCCACACTGACATTGTAACTCTTCAGTACTCTGGAGAAGTCCATGACAGCAGACTTTCCCAATGCAATTTGTCTGCTGATTTCCTGGCTGCTGGTACCAAGAGATTAATGATACACACATATGTATACAAATGTAATCTCCTCTAGTGAAGATTTACTGTCTCTGAAATGCAGTGGAGAGTCACTATGAGTCAGAACCAAATTAACAGCAGTGGGTATAAGTATGCACATGTATATTTCACTTTTTATTTTATATAACACATATATTAGCATGTGTGTGTATAATTAAAGTTAAGACTTTAATTATCATAATTTTCAAAACATTTTTGTTTTAGCTAGCACTCTGATAGATTAGCGGTACGGAATTATACTGCCAACCCAAAGGTAGTGGTGGTTGTTAGGTACTGTCGAGTATGACTCATAGCAACCCGATGAACAAAAGATCTGAACCCTGTTCTATCTTGCACCATCCTCACACTTCCTGACATACAAGAGCCCATTGCAGCAGTCACCATGTCAATCCGCCTGGTTGAGGGTCTTCCTCTCCTTCACCGACCATCCACCCTTCCCAACATCATGTCCTTCTACAAGGACCTCCTAGCAATATGCCCAAAATATGTGAGGCAAAGCATCATCATTCTTGCCTCCAAAGAGTACTTTGACTGCACCCTCTCCACAACATATGTTTGGTTTTTTGGCCACATGGAATGTTCAGTGCTCTTCTCCAACACCACAGCTCAAAGGCATCAATTCTTTTCCTGTTGTCCTTATTCATTGCCCAGCTCTCAGATGCTTAGTGAGTATATGTATGGCCTGACTCAGACACACGTTAGTCCTCAAACTGACCTCATAATTTCTCAGTAGATTTTCTGAGTGCAATGTTCCTCCTTATTTCCTGACTGCTCATACCAGGGTGTTAATTGTGAATCCAAGCAAGATGAAGCTGTTGGCAGGTTCAGTCTCCTCTCCATCCATCATGATGCTGCCTATGAGTCCAGTGGTAAGAATCTTTGTTTTCCTGACATTGAAATACAACTCATATGAAAGGCTGCATGATTCCCAGAGGTACATGATTCAAACACAAGCTGCTCCACAGGAGAAGAGTGGACAGTCTCACCTCATGCAATTTACTGCCTCTGAAAACCCACCGGAGGGTCAGCTATGGGTCAGTCTGACTTAACAACAACAGTATAGTAGGATTTGGGGGTTTGCCTCAAATTATGAGCCTATTGTTGTTTTAGTAAAGCTGAGTTTATCTTATTTGCAATTATTGATGAAACTCATATAGCCCTAGCTTGCCTGCCTGCTTCAACCAAATTGGGAAATCTAACAATTCTAATCTTTCTTACAGTGTTTTGTAATATGACAACACAAGAGAAGACAAAAGAGTATCCTTTTGTGGATATATTTAATGAAGATGAAAATGAAAGGAACTTTTTGTTGTCCAAACCTGTTTGTTTTATTATATTTGGAAAGCCAGTAAGTTATCTCTTCTAATTTATTATTTAGTATGAATTATTTGTTTGAAAATTTTATTCTTATAAGATACCATAAAGAATGAAAAGCACATGTATGCTAGATTTGTAAGGTTATTTTGAAGTGTTTATTAGATTTTTCTGTTTTGACTTAAAAGGTATAGCTGTAAGAGAAAATGATTAATTAACCATCAAATTCAAAGCAACATGACCCTAAGTGGTGCTGCTATCCCCCCTTGTCATTTGCTTGCAATCCACCAGCATCTGTGCAGGAGAAAGATGGACCATCTTCTCCTGTGTAATTTTTAGCCTTTGAAAAACCCCCTGGAAGGTTAGCTATGAGGCAGTTCTGAGACTGGACAGCAATGAGATAGTATGTTGAGTGTGTGTGTGTGTCTGTGTGTGTCTGTGTGTGTGTGTTAGATTACAGCTGAAAATGTATTACACTTATATGTATTAGGAAGAAATTAACTTATCCAGGAACTGTACCATGATAATTATTAGAAGTATGTGAAACAAGGTTATTTCAAACTTGGTTTGCGTGTAAAACTGTCTTTGAAATTTGATACTATCCTGTCTGAATAATAGAGATGAGCAAGGGAAGTTCTATTCATACCTGAAGATATCATGATGCAATGTACACTTACTGTCTTCCACAAAGCAGGAAGAAATATAGGATGGTAGTGTCAGATAGCTTACCTAGTCAGGAAATTCCAATAAAGATTTTTAGATAAGAGCTATTTTCAGCCACCAAATTAGTAGTTACCATTGTTATTGTTAGGTACCATTGAGTTGAGTACTACTTATAGCGACCCTGTGAACAACAGATCTGAATCTTGTCCCTCTGTTGTGCCAACTTCACAATCTCCATCCAGTACACTCAAGCCCATTACTGCAGTCATTGTGTCAGTCCACCTGGTTGAGGAGCTTCCTCTCCTATCATCTCCTCCCATCCCCGCTTTCCAAGCATGATGTCCTTCTCCAAGGAATAGCATTTTCTAGCAGCGTGCTTCAAGTACGCGAGATGAAGCTTTACCATCTTTGCTTCCAAGCCTGTATCTTCTCTAAGACATATCTGGTTTTTTTTCTTTTGACAATCCTTGGATATGCAATAATCTTCCTCAACACCACAATTCAAAGGCATCAATTTTTCTTCTGTCATCCTTATTTATTGTCCAACTTTCAGAAGCATAGCAAGTAATTGAAAAGACCATGAATCAAGCCCACCTTATCCCCAAATGAAAATTATTACTCTTCAGTAATTTGGAGAGGTCCCAGACTTCAGACTTTCCCAGTGTGATATGTTCCTAATTTCATGACTGCTGAAATGCCAGAGGGTTCACCCATGGTGGACAGGTTTTAGTAGAGCTCCTAGATTAAAACAGATGACAAACGAAGAAGGATTAGCCATCCACTTCTGAAATAGTAGGCCTCTGAAAACCCTTTAAACAATAGTTAACATTAGAAGGCCTGAGCTTGTTCTAAAAGAGATATTCTAGAATGTTGTGCCATCAAGTCGCCTGTGACTTATAGCAGAGATTAAATGCTGAATACCTTGACTTATTGGACCTTGGAATAGGTACTAAGAAATGGTTCTAATAACTGTCATTATTTATGTAGACTTAAATTAGTTATAAAAGACAATAGTAGAAAGAACCAAATGCAAATATTACTTCATGAAAACTATCTTTTATATTTCATAAAAGAATAACTACTCATATGCAAGTTCAAGCTGAAGCTGAGGAAAATTAAACCAAGTCCACGGGAACGAAAATATGACTTTGAGTCTATCCCACCTGAATTTCAAAACCATCTCAGGAACAGGTTTGAGGCCTTGAACACTAATGAGTGAAGACCAGATGAGTTGTGGGAAGATATCAAGGGTATCATCCAGGAAGAGTGCAAACGGTCATTGCAAAGATAGACGAGGAAGAGAAGACCAAAATGGATGTCCGAAGAAACTCTGAAAATTGCACTGGAGCACAGAGAAGCCAAAGCACAAGGAAGAACTCAAGATACTAAAAAGTTGAATAGAAGATTTCAAAAGGCAGTGCGGGATGACAAAGTAAAATATTACAATGAAATGTACAAGGAGTTGGAGTCAGAAAATCAAAAGGGCCAAACTCACTCAGCATTTCTTAAGCTCAAGGAACTGAAGAACAAATTCAAACCTCGAGCTGCTATAATCAAGGATGCTTTAGGCAGAATATTAAATGATCCAGGAAGTATTAAAAGAAGATGGAAAGAATATACTGAGTCACTGTATCGAAAGGAATTGGCAGACACAGAAGAATCTCATGAAACAACATATGAGCAAGAACCTATGGTGATGAAGGAAGAAGTTCAAGCTGCTTTGAAGGACATAGCAAAAGATAAGGCCCCAGAAATAGCCAGTATACCAATTGACATATTTCAGCTAACAGATGCTGCCCTGGATATGCTCACCAAGTTGTATCAAGAAATCTGGAGAACAACCACTTGGCCAACTGACTGGAAGAGATCTATATTTGTTCCCATCCCAAAGAAGGGTGACCCAACAGAGTGTGGAAACTATAGAACAATATCATTAATTTCACATGCAAGCAAGATTCTACTGAAGATTAACCAAAAACGACTGGAACAACACATCAGCAGAGAACTGCTGGAAGTCCAGGCTGGGTTCAGAAGGGGTCGCAGTACTAGGGATATTGTAGCTAATGTTAGATGGATCTTGGCTGAAAGCAGGGGATACCAGAGGAATGTCTATCTGTGTTTCATTGACTATGCAAAGGCATTTGACTGTGTGGATCATAACAGACTGTGGCTGACTCTGAGAAGAATGGGAATCCCAGAATACTTGCTCATGCTAATGAGAAATCTATACTTGGACCAAGAGGCAATCATCAGAACAAAGCAAGGAAACACTGCATGGTTCAAAATTGGGAAGGGCGTATGCTAGGGATGTGTCCTGTCTCCATACGTTTTCAACCTATATGCAGAACAGATTATCCGGGAGGCTGGGCTCTATGAGGAGAAATGTGGGGTCAAGATTGGTGGAAGATCTATCAGCAATCTGCATTATGCAGATGACACAACCCTGCTTGCTGAAACTGAGGAGGACCTGAAGCGCTTGCTGCAGAGGGTCAAGGACTGACTGCAGCCTCCAATATGGATTGAGGCTCAATGTCAAGAAGACAAAGATTCTCACCACTGGGCCAATTGGCAGCATCAGGATGGATGGTGAAGAGATTAATATTGTGCACAACTTTAGTTTGCTTGGCTCCACAGTTAACACTCTTGGCACCAGTAGCCAGGAAATTAAAAGACATATTGTGATGGGAAAGTCTGCTGTTAGGGACCTCTCCAAAGTACTGAAGAGCAATGGTGTCTCTGGAGACTAAGGTGCATCTGATACAGGCCATGGTCTTTGCAATCACTTGTTATGCATCAGAGAGTTGGACAATGGTTAAGGAGCATAGAAGGAAAATTGTTGCCTTTGAGCTATGGTGCTGGAGAAGAGCATTGAGTGTACCATGGAATGCTAGGAAAACAGATTCATCCTGGAAAGGGTCAAACCGGATGGCTCCTTGGAGGCAAGGATTCTAAGGCTCCGTCTAACATACTTTGGACGTGTTGTAAGGAAGGACCGGTCTTGGAGAGGGACATCATGCTTGGAAGGGTGGAGGGACAGCACAGGAGGGGAAGGCCCTCTATGAGGTGGATTGATTCAGTGACTGGGATAATTGGGATGGGAGTGTCAGAGACAGTGCGATTGGCACAGGACAGAGCAGAGTTTAGGGATGTTGTACATAGGGTGGCTATGAGTCGCAAGCAACTTGACAGCACATAACAATAACAACACAATATAATACTCTTAAAAGTCATAACTAACGTAGATTTTCCATTTTTGCTCTTGGAAATTACTGAGTGGATGTATAAAAACTTTCATTGTTATAAATTTGAGCCGGATAAAAGAATTAATTGCAAGGCAAACACAAATCATGTAGTGATTTTTTTTTTCCTTGTTGTGTACCGTCGAATCAGATCTGACCGGCACAGGAGAAGATTGCCCCTCCATCTCCAGCATAACATCTGGTGGATTCGAACCCCATGCCTTCGGGATTGCAGTGCAGCATCGTGCCACTAGGCCACCAGAGCTTTCTATGTAGTGAAAATTTTTAACTGAGTTTTGAAAATGTTACAGCACCTTTAACAAAGAGTACAAAAGCATCATGATAAAACTTCCTGATTTCAGAGTTGTCTTTATAATTTTTTTAAAAAGGTTTATTCATATCACTTCATGAGATATGCCATATAGAACAATTAGTAGAGAAAGCAAAGTTTTAAATGTCTAGGGTAGATGTTTATGCAGGGAAATTTTTTACTTCATAGCACTGATGAGATAGTAACTCCAGTGCTGAACATTGTTGTGAACTGCTATCTATCTAGTAACTACTTATAGGTGACCCTCCAGCAGGTTTTCAGAGGCTGTAAATTGCATGGGAGGAGAATGCCATTCTTTCTTCCACAGAGCACCTGGTTGGTTCAAACCACCTGGTTTGGGGTTAGCACTGCAACTTCTACTCACGAGCCTCCCGTGTTCCCTAACCACCAATTCATTGTTATTGCTGTTTGCCATTGAGTCAAAATTGACCCATAATTGACCCTCCAAGGGGTTTTCACAGGTAGTGAATCACAAGAAAGAATATTGCCCATCTTTCTCCTGCTGAGCATCTGGTGGATTTGAACAGTGTGCCTTTGAGATTGCACCATAGCTTCCTATAGCTAGGCCACCAGAGCTCCCTAAAACCACCAATAGAATTTCTAAATTCTGAGATACCTGTTTCACTGGCATATGATAAATGTGTTGTTATATATTGGGTTTTTAATAACATATCTCTTTTTAAGGGAGTTGGAAAGACAACATTAGCTCGCCAAATATCACAGGCATGGAAATGTATTCGTGTTGAAGGTAAATATTATTTCTCCTCCCAGCATTTTAATTATAAAAACTTATACAAAAAAGTTTAAAGAATTGTAGCGTGAACCTTATGTACCTATCATATAAATGATCTGGTTATTATTTTGCTATATTTGCTTAATCACGTATATAGCCACCCAGCAACCCGTCACATATTATTTTTATTATAGTATCAGTCATGTTTTGTCCCTTTGTTAGTCCTAATTCATATAATTTAAAAGGATTTATTAAATATCTATTCCCTCATTCTCTCATTCAAACTCACTGCATTCAAGTTGATGCCAAATTATAGTTACCCTTCTTCAAGCGAGGCCATCTGTCACAATGGGAGGAGACTGAGGCACTCCTGGTGGATTAAAACTGCCTGAGAAGTGAGGCCTTTGGGTTAGCAGCACAACTCACTAAAGACTGGACCATCAAAGCTCCCTGTTTCAACCTACTGCTTCTCATTCTCTACTTCCATCATTTAGATAATTCCAATTTTCATATAAATTGAGTATGTGTGCTTTAGTCTTTCTATGCTAGAAGATGGGACAGGAAAGAACTCTTACAAGTTTTACGATCATTTTCCAGAGTTTCATTGTCTTTGCGGGTGAGTTTTATTCTTCTGACATTTATAAATTGCTTTGCAGTCTTTGTATTATGCAGGGTAATGGGTTGGTTCCTTTATATATACGCTTAATTGCTGTTGTTGTTAAGTGCCTCGAGTCGTAAATGAGTCATAGCGACCCTATGAACTAAAGACCTGAACTCTTATAGTCATAGTATAACTTTCATCATTTCTCCACGTTCATGGGGTTTCTGGAGGCAAGCTATTACAGAAGTGCTTGCCACTCCTGCTTCCAAGTTTGTTTTGATCGGGGAGTGCCACCATCACAACAAACAGGAATTACCTCTATATAGCAAATGGACAGACCAGTGCTATACCACTTAGAAGAATGTTTGACCAAAACAAATTAAAACCAGGCCTGAGAGCCGCAGATTAAAGTTATCCACCTTTGGCTTGGTAGCATCACTTTCTGTCCACTAGGCCAACTGAGCTCTCTTGTTGTTGTTGTTTGTTGTTGTTAAGTGCCATCAAGTCATAGACGACTCATAGTGACCCTATGAACGAAAGATCTGAACGCTTGTATAACTTTCATTGTTTCTCCAAGTTCATAGGGTTTCCAGGGGCAAGCTATTTCGGAAGTGGATGCAGCTCCTGCTTCCATGGAGGTTAACTCTTAATTGATAAAACTATTTATGTCATAATAAAAATTAAAGCATTAACAGAAAAGTTATACCTATGAAACCAGGAATAGCTGTATTTAAAGGGGAAAAGAATGATTAAAATAATACAAATCCATTTTTACCTAGTAAATTGACAATGAATTTTAAAAATTATGACAATCATTGTTTGCAAGGATGTTAATAGGTATTCTATGTCAGAGAGATTGTAATCGGGTACAATTTTTTTGGAGGACAGTTTTGCAATATATATGCACATATGCGTACACATTTTTAAAAATATTCTTCCTTCTTTCAACTAGCAGTCTAAAACTAAAATTTTATTCTTTTTTTTGATCCAAAACTTTCATTTCTAGGAAATAATGAAGAATACCAAATATTCCAGATTATTAACAACTTGTTGTTTAGATGCCATCAAGTCGCCTGCAACTCATAGCAACCCTATGTTCAACAGCTCTGCACCCTGCTCTATCCTGAGTCAATCTTATTATCTCTGACACACCTGCTCCAATTACCTCAGTCACTGAGTCAATCTGCCTCATCAAAGGTCTTCCTCTCTTGCACTTTCCCTCCCTACACCCTCCCAATCATAATGTCCCTCTCCAAGGACTGGTCCTTGCTTGCAACATGCCCAAAGTATGTCAGATTAAGCTTCAGAATCCTTGCCTCCAAGGATCAGTCTGGTTTCACCCTCTCTAGGACGAACCTGTTTGTTCTCCTAGCAGTCTATGCTATATTCAATACTCTTCCCCAGCACCACAGCTCAAAAACATCAATTATCCTTCTATCATGACTAGTTATTGTCCAGCTTTCTGGTGCACAGCACCTAATTGCAAAGACCATGGCCTGTATCAGGTGCACCTTAGTCTCCAAACTGACATCATTGCTCTTCAGTACTCAGGAGATGTCCCTGACAGCAGACTTCCCAAAGTGAATTTAATTCATCTTTTGATTTCTTGGTTGCTGGTACCAAGAGTGTGGATCCAAGAAAACTAAAGCTATTCACTGTCTATCAGCTATTCACTGTCTATCATGCTGCTGAGAATCTTTGTTTTATTGATGTTGAGCTTCAATCCATATTGAAGGGCTGCAATTCTTGACCATCTGCAGCAAATGCTTCAGGTCCTTCTCAGTTTCAGCAAGCAGGATTGTGTCATCTGCATAATGCAGGTTGTTGATGAGTCGTCCTCAATTCTGATGTCACATTCTTCCTCATAGAGCCCAGCCTTCCAAATGATCTGTTTCACATATAGATTGAAAAGGTGTAGAGATAGGACACATCCCTGGCATACACCCTTCCCAATTTTAAAACATGCAGTGCTTCCTTGCTCTGTTCTGACAACTGCCTCCTGGTCCAAAGATAGATTTTGTATAAGCACTATCAAGAAATCTGAGATTTCCGTTCTTCTCAGAGTTAGCTACAGTTTGTTGTGATCCGCACAAATAAATGCCTTTGCATAGTCAATGAAACACAGATAGACATTCCTCTGGTACTCTCCGCTTTCAGCCAAGATCCATCTAACATTAGCTATAATATTCCTAGTGTCATGACCTCTTCTAAACCCAGCCTGCATATCTGGAAGTTCTCAGCAGAATCTTGCTAGCATGTGATATTAAGATATTGTTTGATAATATCCACACTGTCGGGTTACCTTTCTTTGGACAACTAGGAGCATAATTAAGCCCCCAAACCCTTGTATACAACATGTCCCTAATTATCTGTCCCATGACATCTTTCCTAAATGTTGTAGTGTTTCCTCTTAAAAAGGAAACAAATAATTTTAATTTCAACCTCAGATCTCTTTCTAATTAGTGCTTATCCCTTTTAGCATTTCCTGGTTTATACTTTCCTCTTAAACAACCAACATGCAGCAAAAATGATATATTCTAGTGTAGTTAAAAAAATTGTTGTTGTTAGGTGCTGAAAAGTCACCCTCAACTTGTAACAACTCTGGGAATCAAGATCTGAACCTTGCCCTGCATCATCTTCAATATGTCTAGTATGCTCCAGCCAATTATTGTAGTCACTGTGTCAATTAATCTTGATAGAGGGTCTTCCTCTTTTTTCTCTGACCCTCTATCTAAGACTGGCCTCACCTGACCAACAGCATGCCCAAAGTATGTAAGACAAAGTTTCACCATTCTTGCCTCTAGGGAGCATCCTGGTTCCTTTAAGGTAGACTTGCTTGTTCTTTTTGACAATCCATAGTATGTTCAGTACTCTTCCTCCTCCAACACAACTCAAAGCCATCAATACTTTTTGGTTCTACTTTAAAGGTGTGCTTAATCCAGGCCATGGTCTTCTCAATTACTTGTTTTGCTTCAGAGAGCTGGACAATGACTAAGGATGTCTTTGAGTTGCCAAGAAAACAAATCTGTCTGTCTTAGGGTTTTCACAGTCTTCTTGTTGTTTCACCTTCTCCTCTTTCAAGTCTCTCCTTGGAGGCTAGGATTTTGAAGCTCTGTTTCATATACTTTGGGCACTTGGCCAGGAGAGACTGGTCCTTAGAGAGGCGCATCATGCTCGGAAGGGTGGAGGGACAGCACAGGAGAGGAAGACCCCAGATGAGATGGATTGATACGGTATCTGGGGCAATGGGGGTTGATGTGTGGGAATTAGTGAGACTGGCTCAGGACAGGGAAGCGTTCAGAGCTGCTGTACATAGTGTCACTAAACATCGCAGGCGACTCAAGGGCACATAACAACAACAACAACAACATACTATATTGGTTGTGGTGTTTTGTTTTGTTTTGTTTTGTTTTTTTCATTTAAGCCTCTTGTTTAGAGTAAACAAGACCTCATAAAGGGCCTTTGTATTTAAAAGTTGGTTGTTACTATATTTTGTAGGAACAGTCTTCTAAGTGGTATAGCACTCTTGTGTCAATTTGCTCTACTGAGGTAACCTGGGGTTGCTGTGATGCTGAACCTTGTGCCATTGGGGTGTCAAATGCCATAAGGGTTACCCATGGTGGAGCTCTCAGTTTAAGACAGGTTTGGAAGCAAAATTGTCACCTACATCCTAAACAACATGCCTCTAGAAACTCTATGAACTTTGATAAATGATGATAGTTATAGAAAGGCTTCAGGCCTTTTGTTCATAGGGTCACTATGAATCATGCTCGACTGGAGGGCAGTCAACAACAACAACATTCATGGTCTAACTTTCAGATGCATAGGAAGCAATTGAAAAGACCAGGGCTTGGGACAGGAACACATTAGTCTTTAAACTGACATCCTTTCTCTTTAACACTTCAGAGACCTCCTTAACAGCTGCTTTTCCCAATGCAAAATAATTTTTTTTAATTTCTTGGTTCCTATTTACAATGAGTATTGATGGTGGATTCAAGTAAAATTAAATCGTTTTCAACTTTAATCTTTTCTCCGTCCAGCATGATGTTGACTACTGGTAGAGGGATGAGGATTTTTGTTTTCTTCATGTTGAGATGCAGCCTATTTTGAAAGTTGTAGTCTCTGATCTTCTACAGCAAGCCCTTCAAGTCCTCTTTACTTTCTCCAAGCGAGGTTGTAACAGATTGTTGATAAGCCTTTTTCCAACTTGGATACCACATTGTTCTTCATATAATTCAGCTTCTCAAATGTGTAGTCCAGCTTCTCATTACACAAGTAGTAGTGTATGCATGTGTTCAATACATTACAATTTACATTCACTGTTATATACACCACTTCATTTCACTCTCACACGCATTCAGGATGCAGAAATTATTAGGAAGTCCATTTCTCCTGGATCCTTTATCTAGCATGTGGCAAAGATGACCTTTCATAGTATATATTCTGCTGCCTCATACTTTGTTTACACTTAAATGATGTACTATGCATAAATGTCTTTGCAAAGTCTATAATAGCCTATAAAGTATAATCATTTACTACATTTTTGAACATTAAAAATGTGCAAATGTATTTGTTAATTTGACAATATAATGCTGGTTTATGCTAATATTTTGAGTTCATGTTTTAGCTTTATCGGTTTTGGAGGAACATCTTGCTGTTAATGCCCAGACAGGATATATGGTAAGCAAATCTGTATGTCAAAGTTATTGGGACAAAATGCCTCTTTATCACAGCTCTGTTAGACAGTTACATTCAATATCTATTCTTGTTCTTAGTTGCAAGACACGCTGACCAGTGGTCAAAGTATTCCAGATGAACTTATCATAAAGTTGATGTTGGACAAGCTCAACTCTATAGAAGTCTCTCACTTTGGTATGTTTATTTTATTTTTATTTGAGTGAAAGTTTACAAATGTTAGTGAGTTTCACTCAGTCATTCCTACACATCTTCTTTCATGGCATTTGTTACAGTTGATTAATATAACTAACTAATTACATCACCTGAACAAACCCTTATTGTATATTGCCTTTCTGTTCACTTTATTAATTATTTTTACTTCCCTCTTCTTCCCTTCTCAACCCTGATAACTTGAAGAATAAT